ACCAGTATTTTGCAGGGTCAAACATCAAACGTTAAATCAAATAATAAACCAAAAAGCCTCAACCCAAGCACCTAAAACCAGTATTATGCTATGTCTAACACCAAACGCCACAGTTCAATCATATCAGCTCAAACGCCTCAGTTCAGTCACACAATTCATCACTTTAGCTTTATGTTCCCAATTGTTATTAACGGGTTATACGGTTTAAGCAACCACAAACCCAAAAGTTATCCCCAAATTATACAGTTTGGACAGCCCGATTAGTTTTCTATCAAGGTATACAGGTTTATCATTCACACTCTCATGCATACGTCACCCCTGTCTTCAAGAATTTTAAGTGTCTCCTTTGAACCTAGTCATATCTAGTCTAAACTGATATGTGCCATAGCGTCGCACTGCCCATCTATTTAAAGTACCTCTTATGGGTGTCTTTTGTTAACGTTTGCACAATTTAAACTTTATTTCCTAATTGTAATTCTCATTATTTACTGTTTTAAAATATTGTTTGTATTCTCAGCCAAAATGGTACACAGTTATTACACAGTTAAACGTAGTATACAGTTATCACTCAGCAAAAATAGTACACAGTTATCACACTCACTCACAATACACAGTCATAATCCTATCACACAGTCATAAATGACACACTTACACTCGACACACAATCGTAATTCTTTGTCACACAACTAAAGTTTCTTAGGACACACAGATAACAAAGGTATACAATGGGGCACATAGCCTCCTCTACTATGGGGCACACAGCCTCCTCTACTATGGGGCACACAGCCACCTCTACTATGGGGCACACAGCCTCCTCTATTTGGGCACACAGCCTCCTCTATTTGGGCACACAGCCTCCTCTATGGGCACACAGCCTCCTCTATGGGCACACAGCCACTTCTATATCCCATGGGTTTAACCATCAGAATTATCAAACATTTGCATGGTAATCTATAAAATTGAATTAGTATTCTATAATCGTTATTTATAGTACAATAGGGTTCACTTACATCAAACAGGTGTTTGACAAAATTAATTTGGATAAAGCCAATATGCAGAACTTTAGTTATATAAACAATAGGTGTCTGCTTACCTGTGTTTTTAGAAGCCCGGGCACTTTGTGAAACACACGGTTCGACGACAGCGATGTCCAATAGGCTGGATGGATCCCAGCAAAGGTCCGCTACCAGATCACAGTCGGAGGTCGGAGGTCACCAATTGTTAGAAATTGCGTAATTCAAATCTGGTATTGGAATAAGAGAAAACATAATCAAGAGATATTCAATCCAAGCTAAATTTATTATATGCAAAATGTATGTATGATAAGTATGAAGGTTCGTATACGGGCTCACTGAAAAACCACGCAGGGCAGACAGAGAACTAAACCATTGTTTACAGGTACTTTCTCAAATACTCTGACAGAGAGTTCCCACCTCTTCTGTTGGCCAATCAGAGTAAAGGACTGAGTGTGGTTTAGACTTTACTCAGCCAATCCGTTGGCGCACGGGTTAGTCCCAACCACTTGGCGCTCCACCCCTTGGCGCTCCACCGTTCCCAGGCATAAGTTGCTATCATAATAACCTGTAGAGTCAGCACTTTTTTTGCAGTACCCATGTCCTTGGAAGGTTCACAGATCACAAAGAAGCAGTGTTCGCATCTGTGAGAAATACAAGTCTTATCTATCCTTCCCCTAACGTTTCTTACATGAATCACAGCCTGTTATGTGAAACAATTTATATCAGTATAGTACAAACCTATGCTCCTCATTAATGCATTCCTTCTAAGTTATTCATCACATACAGATCCAATTATGAGAAAAATAGAACCCAACATTATCAAAATTAGCTATTTGTTGTGTAGGCTGTTGTCCTATTTGAAATAAAATCAAGGGAGGGAAAAAAATGTGCTGCCGAGTAGGAAGCACCTCAGCACACGTGGAAATAACACCGGTGCACTTGTCACCGGTTTATCGACTCGTCGTGCAGCCCAATCAGCCTCGCAAAACGGTCTTGAATTGCAACAAATCTTCCCAATTAGCTGATTCGCTTAACCATACACCCACTCCTTTCGTCAAACCCACTTGCCCATACTCCGGTCGACCAAACTTTGGATGCAGCTACCCATACTTGGCCAGTGACCGTAAAAACCGAGAGGAGTCCAGCTGCGACATCATCTCTCAGAGCAGTCACCCCTCAGGATCTCCATGCTGCCTCCTACCGTTACGTGTCATCGCTCAGGAAAAGTGGGGGTGTCGAAAGGAGTGGACTTTTTCAAAGGAACCATATAAGAGATGACAGTAAGGAATTTCAGTTCTGCCCCAAAATATGTCTATTCACTCACTCTGCGCTGTGTCTTTGAACGTTACCAACCGGTAGGCATAACGTTACCTACCGGTAGTCATGTATGTAACGTTACCTACCGGTAGCCATGTATGTAACGTTACGTTTTTCGTAAATGGAAACGCTAGCTAACATTAGCTACCTTAACGTATAAAAAAAATCATACATTTTACAATGTATTACTTATTATTGAATATTTGAAATAATAATAATTGAAATATCAAGTCATGGCGGTTCTAGTAGTTATGGAATTCCAGGTTTCATTTCGAAACCCCCACTTCTCCTTAATATGGTTCCTTTGGAGACCCCCACTTCTCCTTATATGGTTCCAACTTTTCCTGAGAGTTGCACTGAGAGATGACATAACAGTAGGTGGCAGCATAGGGGTGACTGATCTGAGAGATTACTAACACTAACACCCCTATTATATCACAGCAAAATCACAGTCTACCTGAACAGAGCAATACTCAATCATGAGGCATCAAAGCCAAAGGAATTGCACAATATTAACAAATGCTATAGATGGAAGGAAAGTACCGTAGAAACCTACCAAAAAACTATTAGGCAACAACAAATGCAATCCCTTTTAGACAACTTCCAGGACAAAACATTTCACTGTAATAGTGAAGGTGTAAACTTGGCAGTAGAAAGCCTAAACAGTACATTTGACCTTTCAGCTTCCCTATCAAATCAAAAAATCTAAAGCAGACAACCTAAGAAAATTAACAACAATGACAACTGGTTTGATGAAGAATGCAAAAACCTAAGAAAGAAATTGAGAAACCTATCCAACCAAAAACTTAGAGACCCAGAAATCCTGAGCCTACGCCTTCACTATGGTGAATCATTAAAACAATACAGAAAGAAACTACGGAAAAAGAAGGGACAGCACATCAGAAATCAGCATGTAATTGAAGAATCCATAGAATCTAACCACTTCTGGGATAATTGGAACACACTAAACAAACAACAACACAAAGAGGATGTGGGATAAACCACTTCTCCAATATTTTGGCTCTATAACAAAGAACAAACAGCAAAAACATATACATGATCAAATACAAATCTTAGAATGAGCTATTAAAGACTACCAGGACCCACTGGATTCTCCAATTACATTGAATGAACTACAGGACAAAATACAAACTCTCCAACCCAAAAAGGCCTGTGGTGTTGATGGTATCCTACATGAAATGATAAAATATACAGACCACAAATTCCAATTGTCTATACTTAAACTCTTTAACATCATCCTCAGCTCTGGCATCTTCCCCAATATTTGGAACCAAGGACTGATAACCCCAATCCACAAAAGTGGAGACAAATTTGACCCCAATAACTACCGTGGGATATGCGCCAACAGCAACCTTGGGGAAATCCTCTGCATTATCATTAACAACAGACTTGTACATTTCCTCAGTGAAAACAATGTACTGAGCAAATTACCATACGACAGACCACGTATTCACCCTGCACACCCTAATTGTCAAACAAAACAAAACAAAAGCAAAGTCTTCTCATGCTTTGTTGACTTCAAAAAAGCATTTGACTCAATTTGGCATGACGGTACCTGCTAATTATCAAAATCCAGAAAAGAGCCGTTAAATTCTACAACCACTTAAAATGAAGCGATTTCCATACCTTCCATAACAAAGCCATCACCTACAGAGAGATTAACCTGGAGAAGATTGCCCTAAGCAAGCTGGTCCTGGGGCTCTGTTAACCAACACAAACAGACCCAACAGAGCCCCAGGACAACAACAACACAATTAGACCCAACCAAATCATGAGAAAACAAAAACATAATTACTTGACACGTTGGAAATAATTAACAAAAAAACAGAGCAAACTAGAATGCTATTTGGCCCTAAATAGATTGAACACAGCGGTAGAATACCTGACCACTGTGACTGACCCAAAATTAAGGAAAGCTATTCTTTTTGAACTTGCGTGAGTGTAATATTTACTGCTCACTTTTTGTTTATTTAACTTGTGTTTATCTATTTCAGTTTCTTTGGCAATGTGAACATATGTTTCCCATCCCAATAAAGCCCATTGAATTGAATTGATTGAATACGTCGCAGCTGGACCCTATTGAAAAAACACTTTATGCGCTTCCATGAGCACTTCCGGTAAAATCACTCTCTCCCGATTGGTCGAATTTAAAAATAAAACCACGACAGTTTGGGATGAAGAAGGAATTTTGCTGCGATCAATGTTTTGGGAGTCATGTTTGTGACGTAAGTACCAAAAAAAATAAACTAATGTCAATGGAATGTGTATTTTTCTAATTATTCGAATAGATAGGGTCGCGTTATGCATTTCTCTTTATTCTGTTAGCTACGAAAATACTAACTAGTTAACGTTAGTTAGCGTTGCCATCGTCTGAATGTTGGTTTAGCCAAAGATTATTAATATTGACTTCGTCTCTTCCTCTCGTTTAGCTAACGTTAGATGGCTAGCTGTAACACAGAGCTGTCAGTGCACTTACCAAGGACTTTAAGTTAGAAAAGCCAACATTTTCTACTCCAACGTTATTGTTGTGATCTGCTTAACTACGTGTCGAAGGGGCGTTGCTAGGTAATTGCGAATGTAGAAGGTGCGCTTGCTGAACACCTAACGTTAGCTGTCTCTTTCTCCCACAACATTATTTGACACAGGATGATGGAGTCATGTTTTAACAATAAATTGGAAAGCGTGGAGAGGGAAATTAACTTCGACGACTTGAAGAAAGACCTTTCTTCTGAGTTTCTCTCCATAGACTCCCAGGAGTCTTGCCTAGAAGAGCTTGAGCACTTGCAGGTGTACCTTCGCATTCGACCATTCACATCAACTGAGAGTGAAAATGGGGAATCACAGGTAATTGAAGTCAACACACACTCCTCTGGCTTGAAATCCTGGCAGGGGTGTATATTCATTACCTTTTAGAGCACGGAATAATCGATAATTTATAGATGTGCAGCTTGTGCCAAAAACTTCGCAGACTATTCAGAATGGAATGGCAACGCGTGGAAACTAGTGATTGGGAGGGGATCGATAGTTACATATCGGTATATTATTTTTTACATGCATCGTTTTGACTATCGCAATATTATGTTGGAGCTAGTTGGCTTTACCTGCATCAAAACTCGTATTTTTCCTTCATAGCTTGTTCTCCATCTTTTTAAATAGGGAGCCAATTTGTTTTCAGCAAAATGTGTTTTTTCTCATGGCTCTCTCCTGTCCCTCTGCAACAGACAGATGGTAAGCAATATATTTGGAACAGCGACACGCAGTAAAATCACAGATTCGAATCGCAATACATATCTTATAGGCACCAAAGTGTCGTGATAATATCTTATCTTCAGGTCTCTGGCAATTCCCAGCCCTAGTGGAAACCATACAATTAAAATGAACTACAACTTCCGTTTAAGAACCCAACAGCTTTTTAGGTCATGTTGAAGAGCATTTGAAAAATATAACTTGTTTTGCAACAATCGGTGTAATGGGTACACCCCAGTTTGTCACATGAACCATCTATACTAAACAAAAATATATAGGCAACAATTTCAAAGATTTTACTAAGTTAAAGTTAATATAAGGAAACAGTCAATTGACATTTATTCATTAGGCCCTAATCTATGGATTTCACATCACTGGGCAGGGGCACAGCCTGGGAGGGCATAGGACCACCCACTTGGGAGCCAGGCCCAGCCAATCAGAATGAGTTTTTTTCCCCACAAGGGCTTTATTACAGACAGAAATACTCCTCCGCACCCCCTCAGATGATCCCGCAGGTGAAGAAGCCGGATGAGGAGCTCCTGGGCTTGCGTGGTTACACATGGTCTGCAGTTGAGGCCGGTTGGAAATACTAGCAAATTCTCTAAAATGAAGGAGGCGGCTTATGATAGCGAAATTAACATTACATTCTCTGGCTCCTGAGTGGCGCAGTGGTCTAAGGCACTGCATCGCAGTGCTAACAGTGCCACTAGAGATCCTGGTTCGAATCCAGGCTCTGTCGCAGCCGGCCGCGACCGGGAGACTCATGGGCGGCGCACAATTGGCCCAGCATCGTCCAGGGTAGGGGAGGGAATGGCCGGCAGGGATGTAGCTCAGTTGATAGAGCATGGCGTTTGCAACGCCAGAGTTGTGGGTTCGATTCCCACGGGGGGCCAGTATAAAATAAATTATAAAAAAATATATATATATATATATATATTCACTAACTGTAAGTCGCTCTGGATAAGAGCGTCTGCTAAATGACTAAAATGTAAATGTAAAATGTCTGGCAACAACTCTGGTGGACATTCCTGCAGTCAGCATGCCAATTACACACTCCCTTAACTTGACATCTGTGGTATTGTGTTGTGACACAACTGCACATTTTAGTGGCCTTTTATTGTCTCCAGCACAAGGTGCACCTGTGTAAAGATCATGCAGTTTAATCAGCTTCTTGATATGCCACACCTGTCAGGTGGATGGATTATCTTGGCAAATGAGAAATCCTCACTAACAGGGATGTAAACAAATTTGTTTTCAAAATTTGAGAGAAATAAGCTTTTTGTGCATATGAAACATTTCAGGGATCTTTTATTTCAGCTCATGAAACATGGGACCAACACTTTACATGTTGTGTTTTTTATATTTTTGTTCAGTATAGATGCCCATTTCCTCACCACCATGCACACACTTCAGGTAACAAGAGCCTTGGAAACATAATAACTGTTGGACTTTGACTTGGTGTCTTTTCCCTGTACACATTCAAGGACTGCGTTTCCATCGAGCCCCCGGACACGGTCCTCCTCAAGGCTCCAAGGACATCGCTCTCAGCACGGCTCCGTGACAAATCAGCTCAACGGTTTCAGTTCTCACAGGTCAGTCAGCAGGGTCTGTCAGTGCCACGCAGGTCCTAGGAACATAGAATGAAGGTTCTTCCAATCACATGTTCTCTTTGTCCTCAGGTCTTAGGGCCAGAAACCACTCAGAGGGAGATGTTTGACGGCACAGTGAGAGGTCTCGTCAAGGAGGTTTTGGAAGGCGGAAATTCTCTTGTTTTCACATATGGAGTGACAAATGCGGGAAAGACATTCACTTTTCTAGGTTTGATTTGTTGATTCTTTTCTTGCCACGCAGAGTTGGACAGATGCAAACTGTGACTGTTTTGGCAAAACATCCTACTTGTACACAAGGTCCAACCTGAGTTAGCACAGACTCACTGTTTGAATGCCAGCAATGTGAAAATCCAGCCATTTTAAAATCCAATCCTATGTTGAAACTTAAATCCTCTGATGGTGCTTCTTAGTTTCTCATCACAGTCAAGAACCTGTTGTAGGTGTGAACTGACCTGCTCATTATGGTCAACTCTTGCTAACAAACACTAAGACGTAGTGATTGAGAAATGAAGAGATCCTCAACACCTGTTGTTTTTTAGGTCCAGAGGCCAACGCAGGGATCCTCCCCAGGTCTTTGAATGTCATCTTCAACAGCATTGAGGGGCGCGTTTACAACCAGATGACTATCAAGCCGCAGCGATGCAGAGAGTTCACCAGACTCACTAAAGACCAGCAGAGTGAAGAAGCAACTAGCAAGAGAAATCTCTTCAGGCTCCTCAAGGAGGTACTGGGTTTGTTCATTGACCCGATGAAAGCCATTGCATTACTCAACAGGTTGTTCTTTGGATCTAATAATTGATATTAAATGATGCCCCTCATTGCTCTTCCCCCCATAGAGTGATAACCAGAAAAGCTTCACCAACAAGAAAAGCCTGGAAGGCAAGGACATTTTATAATTTTATATGCCATTTAGCAGATGCTTTTATCCAAAGCGACTTAGTCAAGCGTTCATACATTCTTGCATATGGTTGGTCCTGGGAATTGAACCCACTATCCTGGCGTTGCAGGGTTCCACATTGCTATTATTTTACTGGCATATGCGGCAAAATATTTAGTTGTGCGATCTGGGTTTTTTATTTATTTAGCACTAGTGCACCTAGAAAAATGAAGGATTCTAACTTTATTACCTCCAAATATTTTTAATTGTGATCCTACATTTCTTTATGTGCGTTTTTCAACTTGGGTGCACACCTGCTCCTTGTACAAAAAGGTTGGCGTAGAGAGCCCTGCGTTGTAAACGCCATGCTCCTAATTGAGTTACATGGGACCAAATTATTTGTTATCTCATGCCACGATGCATATTCCTGTCCTGCATTTATACATGATTGTCACATCCCACATGTTGCTATCTCTCTGGTAGTTTGGTGCATCGTTTGCCATCACAATAGACTTCTATTCAACCAGAGGTTTGTAACAGGCTAACACCACCACTTGTTTCTCTGACAGGTTCAACACTAAGTGACATTGAGGTGACTGAAGACCGTTTCAGTCTGGTTGTTGAAGCACACACCAAGTTCTCCGTCTGGGTGTCCTTCTGTGAAATCTACAACGAGAACATTCACGACCTGCTGGAGCCCATACCGAACGGAGCCCTGAAGAGAACCACACTGCGGCTGTCGCAGGATGTCAAAGGCAACTCCTTTGTAAAAGGTAACGGATGCATTTTAAGGTTGTGTAACGTTGCTGTCAAACAAAATGCGCTTTGTTCTATATTTATCCATTGCGACTTAATCATTCATGCATACATTTCACATACGGGTGGTCCCGGGAATTGAACCCACAATCCTGTCGTTGTAAGCACTGTCGTGACGTGACTTTCATTATTGTGGTGACTATAATTTATCGAATCATTACGTAATATGTTTAATTGTTACTCAAATTAATCATGTAACAATTAACTCATTAGGAATTTGGGGCACCACGGGTAAAGTTGTTTAACGAGTTACCGTTTCCCGAATTAACTCAAACGATAAGAGATATCTAGATATCTTTAAACAGTCATTTATTAATAATGTACCTCATATCAGTCTCATTCTGAAAGTCGTAGGCTCTTTTAAGTCTGCACGAACCCACGTCTTACTGATCATTCCATACCACACAAATTGATTTAATTATTTATTTACTAACTAATTAAAAATGATAACACAAGATACAAACACGTACACGGTATAGGTAGAGATTAGAAACTTAATACAATGAAATGGGTCCCTAGCGGACTAACACAATGACACTTGTTACAAAAGATGGTGAGTTAAAGAGAGAGAACACTTGGATACACATGGACCTATACTCACAGTGATCCTAATACTTTGCCCAGAACTGCCGCCCGTTAAGGAAGAAAAGCAATGCATGTATTTACGTGTTAGAGGTCTTCTGGTGTATCTCTGTTGGACACAGGCCTTCGTGGGAAGGCGTCTATTGTACCCTCTCTCTGAAGGCCTTTTAGATGTAATGCTCAGACTGTCCACAAGAGGGCACAATGTCCTTAGTTGTCTGTTTACTTTCACTCGTTCTGGAAGTGGTCTTCTGAGGACGGCTAATCAGCCGTGTCGATGATCCCCTGTGGGGTGATGAGAGCAGTGTAGTAGACGATGGTTTGAAGAGAGTAACAGGATGGTCCCACTTAAATTCACCTTCTTAGAACAGCTACTCAGCCGTAACGTTGATTTGTTAGTGGAGGCAACTTTGTCGTCTTCACCTCGTTGATTTTCAGGGTCGGGACCGATATGGACAAAAGCTGCAGCTTGAGGTCTGATCTGATAATTCTTATCTCAATCTTTTATAGACTCTGGTAATGATGGGCGTTTCCGTCATACTGACACGCTCTCTGAGCTCCCTCGGGCGGGGCTAGTTACGAGGCAAAAGTATTATCATCACTATGATTTTGTTAGAAAGCTAAAATCACATTCCTATCTTCACGAAAACATTGTCTTCCTCCTTGATATTTTCTACACAAGGTAAAGGATGTAAATCTGATATCCACAGTGGAAAAGCTCTTCAAGTCACAAGGTTTTCCTTATAACGCCTTTTATACAATTTTGAATGACGTCACAAAATAGACATTCATATTCCATTTCTCATCATTCCCAACGTTTGGATGTTGAAATATATTGTCCCATGTTCATTGTTGGATGTTGAAGTTTTTGTGCGGCAAAAGACTCTGAAACAAAGGACATTCCTTTCACCATTCTAGAGGGCCAGAGAGATATTCTCCTATCTCTAATTTATGGCAGTATTGAGGTGTCAAGACCGGCACAGCCCCGCCTGTGGGTAAGAGGGTCTGGTTGTTGTCGGCCATTTGCTAAGCTGATGTGAGGCCTTTGATCATCACCCAGGGAGAGTCTTGACAGCACCATGCTCTACCAACTGAGCAGCAGAGGACCAAATGTTCCGTTGTGTGATTTCAGATCTGAAGTGGGTACAAGTGAACAATGAGGAGGAGGCCTACAAGGTGATGAAGCTCGGCAAGAAAAACCAGAGCTTCGCCAGCACAAAGCTCAACCTCCTCTCAAGCAGGAGGTGATTTATGAAGCACATCAATCATTTCCCTTTTTTGAATTATTTTATTTGAGTCTTTCTTTGGCTGTTACTAACTTGCGTGATCCAAGTTCACACCGCACAATAGATTGACTGCAGTGCTCTTATAGAAATCTGTTCCGTTCCTATGCTCAGCCACAGCATATTTTCTGTTCGTATCCTGCGGATGGAAGATACTAGGATTCCTCGTGTTAACTCTATCAGCGAGTAAGTGAAACGCATATTTGTTTATTCATTTGCACAAAACAAATATCCTAGAAGCCCTATGCAGTACTTGTGGGTATGTCTGTGTGAAGGCGGGGGGGGGGGGGGGGGGGGGGGGGGGGGTTGGTTTTCTTTATGTTTGGCCTTTATTTATTTCTGTTCAGGCTGTCTTTGTGTGACCTGGCTGGGTCTGAGAGGTGCTCTAAAACTCAGAATAAAGGGGAGCGTTTGAAAGAGGCTGGGAACATCAACACTTCCCTGATGACACTGGGCAAGTGCATCAACACGTTACGGCAAAGCCAGCAATCCAAGTGAGCCTTGAACGTCTGCTTTTAGAAAATATGTAACGGTTATGGAATTATACTTCTACAAAGTGTCGGGCGGGGGGGGGGGTGGTGTGTTACAAATCTGTAGCTTGGAGATGTTGATGTTCTGACCCGATGAGGACCTGAGCGTGACCACAATGGAAATAAGTCAGACTTTTTTTTATTGTGCCAGTCACGTTAAAAAAAAAAAATTAAAATGTTTTACTGTGTGTATTATAATTTTTTTAAACTGACAAATGGAATCAATCAATCAAACCCTTGTTGCTAGGCTACCACAGCACGTCCCCTTCAGGGAGAGCAAGCTGACCCACTACCTACAGGGTTTCTTCTGTGGGCGGGGCAAGGCCTGCATGATAGTCAACGTCAACCAGTGTGCCTCCATGTACGACGAGACGCTCAACGTGCTCAAGTTCTCCGCCGTGGCTCAGAAGGTGGTGGTGCTGACCACCAAGACCGTCCCCCACCTCGCCACCAAGAGGTCGGCCCGGGAACTGTCCATGATCATCAACAACGCAGACAGGAAGAACCTGTTGGGTCAGAGGAGAAGGAGCTCCCTGGTTGGCTGGGAGACCAGTCTGGAGGATGTGCAGGAGGATGATGACACAGAAGAGGAGAGCATGATGGAGGAGACCTTGCAGGAGGTGGAAGATGACGACGAGGTTCTCATCAATAAAGGCACTTATGAGGTAAGTCTCCACCTAAGTACTTCTGTGGCTATTTATATTTGATTCTTACACAGAAATTCCAACTGGCTCACCAATGCTAAAAATCCTACATTTCCAGGCCCTGATTTTGATTGTTTAGAAATGTTTGGAAGATTTAGGCCTACTAATAGTAAAGGGACTAGAGTTTTGCTAATCGGGTCAAATGGTCAAAACTCTGGGACCCTATTAATGTGAAGTTAACCTAGAACTAAAGTCTCACGTAATGCTCAATTAAGTCTGTCCACAAGAGATGACTGTGAAGTAAATGTCTGTCAACCCTTCAGAGCAAGTTACTCCGGGAACAGCTCCAGAAAGAGAGGTCTGAAAACTTTGCTTTGGAATCTCGCATCCGTGACGAGGTCACCAAGGAGTTCTCCGAGTTCGTCTCTGAAATGCAGACCGATTACACGTGAGCTCTTCTGTGCCTTGTTTCAGTCATTTTATTTTTGTTGTTTTGGTTGCTTAAAAAAAAAAAAAATGGGTTGGATTTATATAGGGCTTTTCTACCAACTGAGCTACTCAAAGCACTTTACGTAGTAGGGGGGGGGGGGGGCTTTAAAGGTAAATGTTTTTCTATTGCGTTTGATCCGTAACTGAACAGGCTCTAGCGCCCGAGTGGTGCAGTGGTCTAAGGCGCTGCATCGCAGTGCTAACTGTGCCACTAGAGATCCTTATTCGAATCCAGGCTCTGTCGTAGCCGGCCGCGACCGGGAGACTCATGGGGCGGCGCACAATTTGGCCCAGCGTCGTCCAGGGTAGGGGAGGGAATGGCCGGCAGGGATGTAGCTCAGTTGATAGAGCATGGCGTTTGCAACGCCAGGGTTGTGGGTTCGATTCCCATGGGGGGCCAGTATAAAAAAATAAATAAAAAAATATGTATTCACTAACTGTAAGTCGCTCTGGATAAGAGCGTCTGCTAAATGACTAAAATGTCAAATGTAAATGAAATAATAACTTGATGTCTGTCTTACAGGGAACGTCTGGCCAAAGAGAAGAAGATTGTCGAGGAGAGAGCAGAGAGGCGTCTAGAGATCCTGAAGAATCTACTGAACAATCTAGTGAACAGTAACACCAGTCAAGAGGAGTTGGCCAGAGTAGAGCGAGCCACAGTAATGCAGCCTGCCTAGATATGGTGGACATTAGCAGTGTCAACCTCCATTATGTAGCCATGCCTCTTCCTTTACCTTGGTGTTCAAACTGGGGTGACAAAAAAAATAACGTAACTGTTTTCACTAACACTCATCTTTTCTCACTGGCACTGACTTTGCTGATGCTACTTTTATTGAGGAATAATGTATTTACTATGAGATTGATATGTGGTTGTCTCACCTAGCTATCTTAAGATGAATGCGCTACCTGTGAGTGTCTCTGGATAATAGCGTCTCAAAAATGACTAAAATGTGTCTTGTCTCCTGTAGGAGGACAGCTCGTTGTTGGGAGGGATTTTTGACTCCATTTGCAGTGACCTGGCAGGCATTAAGAAGGCGGCTGAGGAGGCCAAGACATGTCTGGTGGTCACCCATCCCCAAGCCGGTAGTGAAACCATCTCAAACCAAGAGAAGAGAGTGGCTGATCTCTCAGAGCTGCTGAGACAAACCCAGGAGCGGCTCTCTGTCAAAACCAACGGTAACCAACTGACAACCAGTCATATCTTTTTTTAAACGTTTTTATAGCCCAGTGTTTCTTCATCCTGGTCACATTTTAAAAATTTTTCCCCCGAGCACTACTCTCATTAACAATAATGCTGTGTTCATATCCAAGTGGGAAGGTGGTATTTACCACATACGACTGGGGAGAAATCCACTTGAACGGCCCTCCAACTGGTAAATGCTAGTGGGGAAAACTATCATCCCTGAACTCTGACTTCTCCCACATGCTGACCTCTGACATCCCCTACTAAGGAAATTACCTCAGAAACAGCATTTTCAACATTTTTAAATGCAACAACAAAACATTGCTTTTTATAAATAATCTATTCATATGTTTTTATTTTATTTAAATCTTATAATTTGTTTATATGCATGATAGCTGTACTTTTAGTTTACGGTTGACGCAGCTTGTTGGCCATTAGCCAATCGCCTTTCAAAGAGTTCAGATCATTACCACCTTCCCACTTGGTTATGAACGCAGCATTGAGCAAAGGCTTGATGAGTTGATTATTTGAATCTGGTGTGTAACGCTAGGGCAAGAACTAGAATCTGCACCCCTTTGGGTTCCCCAGGAACAGGATTAAGAAATACTGGTGTAGGCTATCACGTTCACATACACCTACAGTGCATCTCTTTCAACAATAACTTGTTAATCACCTGTTTTCACTATCCATCAATGACTGCTCCGGATCGGTTTGACTAATCCCACAACAGTGGTTGTGATGGAACGCACACAATGTTTCCCTTTGGTCGACTAGTCATTGTCTTCCGTTTGTTTTGTTTTAAATTTCAGAACTGGAAAATAACTGTAGACAAGTGCAGCAATTGAATGAACAGCTTGAAGAGGCTAGAAAGGTACTGTACCATTGTTTTGGTTCTTCTTCAGCAATGGGACTTCTTGTTCTGTGTTGTCCGTTCTACATAAACCAAATGACGCTAGGATTTAGTTCAGGGTTAAGACAGTAGTTCTGACAGACCTTTTCTGTTTTCTCCTTTTAGACTCTCGAGTCTCAGGAGCTGAAGTTCTCCCACCTCCTGGAGATGTGTCACGGGAAGGATGAGATGATCTCCAAGCTTCAGAACACCATGGACCAACAGGTCCAAGCCACTATCAAGGATGTATGTACATTTTAAGTGGCACTTTGATTAGATCTGACGCGCTGGTCATCGGCCTGTTTCACACTCAGTATTTCACCTTACATCTCCCATTATACTTGACTGGTGCCAATTTCCCATCCATATGTCACATTTTATAAATGCTCATATCCAGAATGTGACATTTTTATTCCAGCTTGCTAGATATTTTAACATTGTTGGGTTTTTCCCCTTGACAGAAGTCTACATTTGACGGCATCAAGGATGAGATCCTGCGACTGAAGAGCAGCTGCACTTGCTCCAGAGGGGAGAAGCCCAGCTCTCGCGCAGAGAGCCGCAAACGGCTGGTGGACCTCCAGGCCAACCTGGATGAACAGCCCCCCAGCAAGAAAGGTACGGGGTGGGCTCCGAGCACTGCCGGGAAGCCCCTCCCACCATTTGTGGGGGTGAGAGCAGTGGGGAGAGAGAATACCGGCAAAGGTCGCAAAAACATCCGCTTAAAGAGGCGACTGTCTGCGCTCAAGAAGTAATGCTGCCCTGAGTCTCAGACTCTGGTGTACTTTTCATCATGTTTCCTATGTATCCATGTTTGTGTTCCCCATTTCTGGGTTGATGTTTTTTTAAAGTGGTTGTTGTATTCCATATGAATTTTGAATAATAATAATAAAGATATTTTTTTTTGTTGTTGCTTTGCTGTGCTCAGGTATTTTCCAAACATTGTATAGCTGTGGAAGGAATTATTGAGGTGTCTCGTTGGTAGAGAGACACCACCTCATGTTCTGGGAAACGGTATACACTCACTATATTGACTTGGCCATGGATGTTAGAGGACTGATTTTCCAATGTCGTTTGCTGACCAAAATTGCAACGTGTCCAGTTGTTTTGATATTTAGCAAACCAATGGTCCTAATCTCATTCCACTGCCTAATGCTTAAGGAGAACACTAAATTCATATTCAGTTAGCCAGTGTCAAGCATCAAGTCAACCTAAAATAACATCCCACCGTACCTCAGAAGCTTTGTTTGCAACACCTTTAAAGATAATTCAGCAAGCGTCCGTGTCTTTGTTAGGGTTCCGGGGGGAGAGGAGGAGATGGACAGCTTGCGCAGGGAGCTGGAGGAGAAAATCCTCAGAAGTGGTGAGGTCAGAGGTGACCGTAGAGACTTTGCAGCTTAGCCTGGCGGAACCTGGAGCGGGCTACCGGAAAGTTCTGGCGCAGCTTGAAGAGCTGGAGAATAAAAAGGTTGTGCATGGAAGCACATGTACAGGAGCTGAAAGCTGAGCTGCACCCGCGAGGACGTCCTCTCTGTGCTGGAGGAGGCGAGGCTGCTCCAGGAAGATGAGCTAGCTGGGAGCCTGCAGGGCATGCGGACCAGGCTTCAGAGGACCGACAGGCCATGCGTGACCATGAGGTCAGAGAGAGAACCGCCCTGATTGACTCCCTGACACAGGAAGTGGAGGCCTCTCAAGCTGCGTCGGGAGTACAAAGGGACCGTTGGCTTCTCCGAGACAAGATGGCGGGACTGAGGAGAGAATGCCCAGAGGCCCTAGAGGAGAGTGAGAAAAGGCTCCTACAGGAACTGGAAGGAGAGCTGGGAGAGAAACTGGCCCAACAGCAGATCTCAGAACAGCAGCTGGATGCGCTAAAAGAGAAACTGGCCCAACAGGAACTGACCTTGGAGCAGCTCAGGGCAGAAATGGAGGAGGCTAAAGCCATGGCCCACATCGACAGCGAGAACTCTGTAGCTGAAGTCGTGACCTTGAGGGGAAAAAGTTGGCTGATCTGGAGGCGAAGCAGTGCACCCGCCAGACGGAGAGAGAGGGAGGCGGCTGTAACCGTGTCCCAGTCGTATAACAACGAGCTCATGTCCCAAATGGAGAGAGCGGCAGAGTTGGAGGAGACACTATTCGAGAAGGAGGCGCAGGTGTCGGGCCTGCAGAGGAGCCTGAGGGAGGCGCAGGAGGTTCGGGAGGATGAGGAGACCGCTGCGGTGCAGGAGGCTCGTAGGAGGGAGGTGGAGAGGAGGAAGGAGCTGCTGGCCGTGGCTAGAGAGGCCATCGCTCAGAAGGATGCTAAGCTGGAGAAGAGGCCATCACCAGGTGAGTGGGCTGGCTGGCACCTTTCACTCTGGGTAGTGGGGAGGCCTACGGGCCAATCCCAAATCATAGACTATGCACTTGTGGAGATCTGAGAGGATTTGATTGGTATAAGCAATATGGTGAAACTTCCCCGTAGCCTATCAGGGGGAAAGGAGTAGCTATTACAAGATTTGATTACACCTGTCTTTACATTTACATTTTAGTCATTTAGCAGACGCTCTTATCCAGAGCGACTTACAGTTAGAGAGTGCATAAATGACGTAAATGTAAATGTATACATTATTTATTTTTTATTTTTCATACTGGCCACCCGTGGGAATCGAACCCACAACCCTGGCGTTGCAAACACCATGCTCTACCAACTGAGCTACATCCCTGCCGGCCATTCTCTCCCCTACCCTGGACGACGCTGGGCCAATTGTGCGCCGCCCCATGGGTCTCCCGGTCGCGGCCAGCTACTGTCTTCTCAGATCTCCACAAGTTCATAGGCCGCATGGGATGATTTGTGATTGGCCTAAATGTTTCTTCATTTGCCCTGCTCCTCCTTACTGGTAAACCTCTCTAATGTAGTGGTGTTTGAGTTCATCTCATGTGTTTATGACCACAGATTGAAGGAGACGGCTAAACTGGACTCAGACAAAGTGAAGGGTTATAGCCAGGACCTTGAGAGAAAAGGTGATGACAACTGTGATCTCAAAGAGAAGCTGGCCGACTCAAAAAACAACAACAGATACAGCAAGTTCAAAAGGAGGTAAAAGCTGATTTGATGTTTTAATATATCTTTATTTATGCAACAGATACTATCATAGTAGGTGCATAATTACAATAACTATTAATAACATATCAATCACTAACGGATGAATCACTATTAATACATTATGAATCGCTAATAACGTACAAATCACTATTAATAATGTACGAATCACTATTAATAACGTACAAATCACTATTAATAACGTATGAATCACTATTAATAATGTATGAATCACTATTAATAACGTATTAATCACTATTAATAACGTATTGGCCCTTTTTGTTTCTCCTACCCAAGATCATCTCCATGCGAGAAGAGGAGAAATCTCAAACTAAAACTGCAGGACTTGGACAAAGTGAAGAAACGGCATCAGGCTGACTTGGATAATAAAGACAGGACCATACGCCAATAAAGACAGGACCATACGCCAATAAAGACAGGACCATACGCCAATAAAGACAGGACCATACGCCAATAAAGACAGGACCATACGCCAATAAAGACAGGACCATACGCCAATAAAGACAGGACCATACGCCAATAAAGACAGGACCATACGCCAATAAAGACAGGACCATACGCCAATAAAGACAGGACCATACGCCAATAAAGACCATACGCCAATAAAGACCGGACCATAACACCAATAAAGACAGGACCATCGCAATAAGACAGACCATACGCCAATAAAGACAGGACCATACGCCAATAAAGACAGGACCATACGCCAATAAAGACAGGACCATACGCCAATAAAGACAGGACCATACGCCAATAAAGACAGGACCATACGCCAATAAAGACAGGACCATACGCCAATAAAGACAGGACCATACGCCAATAAAGACGGACCCGCCAATAAAGACAGGACCATACCCCAATAAAGACAGGACCATACGCCAATAAAGACAGGACCATACGCCAATAAAGACAGGACCATACGCCAATAAAGACAGGACCATACGCCAATAAAGACAGGACCATACCCAATAAAGACAGGACCATACGCCAATAAAGACAGGACCATACGCCAACTGAAAACTCTTATGTTGTTTACTCCTACTCTTGTTATTTGACTTTAAATGTGCCCTTGTTGTTGACCGGAGCTTGATCCAGCTCTTTCTCTATCCAGGAACAGTCTGCTGACGACAACTTCGAGCTCTATCAGAACGCCTGCAAAGGGTACATAGCCCATTAATCCATACTGTTCTACTCTGTATGTCTGTCTGCCCTACATAGGCTGTGTTCTTGCCTACTACTTAGTAAAACCACATACTGTGTACTTAATTGTCCTACATACTCTTTAGAACACACTGTTTAGTTAAAATGTTTGCAGTAAGCAACAGATATCAACATACTAGACTCAACCATACTGAGAATGCGTCATCTAAAGCGCAATTGCGTTGTTTCCCTCCGTTTGTTCATTTTGCTACTGATTATCAGCTGTTAAACACGCGTGGGTCTGACCATCATCTTCTTTAATAGCTTGTTATCAGCTGTTAAACACGCGTGGGTCTGACCATCATCTTCTTTAATAGCTTGTTATCAGCTGTTAAACACGTGTGGGTCTGACCATCATCTTCTTTAATAGCTTGTTATCAGCTGTTAAACACGCGTGGGTCTGACCATCATCTTCTTTAATAGCTTGTTATCAGCTGTTAAACACGCGTGGGTCTGACCATCATCTTCTTTAATAGCTTGTTATCAGCTGTTAAACACGCGTGGGTCTGACCATCATCTTCTTTAATAGCTTTGTTATCAGCTGTTAAAACACGCGTGGGGTCGTGACCATCATCTTCTTTAATAGCTTGTTATCAGCTGTTAAACACGCGTGGGTCTGACCATCATCTTCTTTAATAGCTTGTTATCAGCTGTTAAACACGTGTGGGTCTGACCATCATCTTCTTTAATAGCTTGTTATCAACATCGGTGGGCTGACCATCTCTTCTGTATATGTTGTATCAGCTGTTTAACACGCGTGGGTTAGCCATCATCTTCTTTATAGCTTGTTATCAGCGGTTAAACACGGCGTGGGTCTGCCTCATCTTCTTATGCTGTTATCAGCTGTTAACACCGTGGGTCTGACCATCTCTTCTTTAATAGCTTGTTATCAGCTGTTATAACACACTGGGTCTGACCATCATCTCTTTATACTTGTTATCAGCTGTTTATCACACGTGGGTCTGACCTTCTTTCTGTTATGCTTGTTATCAGCTGTTAACACACGTGGGTCTGACCATCATCTCTTTATAGTTGTTATCAGCGTGTTAAACACACGTGGTCTGACCATCATCTTCTTTAAAGCTTGTTATCAGCTGTTAACCACGTGGGTCTGACCATCATCTTCTTTAATAGCTTGTTATCAGTGTTAACACACGTGGGTCTGACCATCATCTTTTTAATAGCTTGTATCAGCTGTTAAACACGCGTGTGTCTGCCATCAGTCTTCTTTAATAGCTTGTTTCACTGTTAACACGCGGTGGTCTGACCATCATCTTCTTTAATAGCTTGTTATCAGCTGTTAAACACAGGGGTCTGACCTCATCTCTTTAATCTTGCAGGATTCTTCTAGATGAAAAGCAGAAATTAGTTTGAAATCTTGGAATTTAAAGCATTAATACCTTTTCGAAATGTCATTCTATAAAATGTTATATTTTCATATACCCAAAATGGCTACTGTTCAACGCAGTACAGGTTTTGGGCCGCCATAGTGCCTGCAGTATCAAGGGTAGTCCTTCCTTGTCTGTTTAGGGTACTGCTCTTCTCTCTGTCCTGTATTCATGGGGTTAGGCTGCTCGTTCTCTGTCCTGTATTCATGGGGTTAGGCTGCTCTTCTCTCCGTCCTGTATTCATGGGGTTAGGCTGCTTTTCTCTCTGTCCTGTATTCATGGGGTTAGGCTGCTCTTCTCTCGTCCTGTATTCATGGGGTTAGGCTGCTCTTCTCTCTGTCCTGTATTCATGGGGTTAGGCTGCTCTTCTCTGTCCTGTATTCATGGGGTTAGGCTGCTCTTCTCTCTGTCCTGTATTCATGGGGTTAGGCTGCTCTTCTCTCTGTCCTGTATTCATGGGGTTAGGCTGCTCTTCTCTCTGTCCTGTATTCATGGGGTTAGGCTGCTCTTCTCTCTGTCCTGTATTCATGGGGTTAGGCTGCTCTTCTCTGTCCTGTATTCATGGGGTTAGGCTGCTCTTCTCTGTCCTGTATTCATGGGGTTAGGCTGCTCTTCTCTCTGTCCTGTACATTTTATATTTTACATTTTAGTCATTTAGCAAACGCTCTTATCCAGAGCGACTTACAGTTAGTGAGTGCATACATTTTTTATTTTATTTTTCATACTGGCCCCCTGTGGGAATCGAACCCACAACCCTGGCGTTGCAAACGCCATGCTCTACCAACTGAGCTACATCCCTGCCGGCCTTTCCCTCCCCTACCTTGGACGACGCTGGGCCAATTGTGCGCCGCCCCATGGGTCTCCCGGTCACGGCCGGCTACGACAGAGCCTGGATTCGAACCAGGATCTCTAGTGGCACAGCTAGCACTGCGATGCAGTGCCTTTGACCACTGCGCCACTCGGGAGAAAGTGTATTCATGGGGTTAGGCTGCTTTTCTCGCTGTCCTGTATTCATGGGGTTAGGCTGCTTTTCTCTCCGTCCTGTATTCATGGGGTTAGGCTGCTCTTCTCTCTGTCCTGTATTCATGGGGTTAGGCTGCTCTTCTCTCTGTCCTGTATTCATGGGGTTAGGCTGCTCTTCTCTCTGTCCTGTATTCATGGGGTTAGGCTGCTCTTCTCTCTGTCCTGTATTCATGGGGTTAGGCTGCTCTTCTCTCCGTCCTGTATTCATGGGGTTAGGCTGCTCTTCTCTCCGTCCTGTATTCATGGGGTTAGGCTGCTCTTCTCTCCGTCCTGTATTCATGGGGTTTTCCATGCTGGTGTTGATTTGGCGTTTTAGTTTATTTATTCGCACACGCACAAAAAGACAAGTGAAAGACAAACTGTTCAGATTAAAAAAACAAGGTATAAAGGTGTGCAGGTGAGATTAGAAACCCTGGAGGGCTTATATGAAAACCACACAACAAAAACAACACACTGAGTGTACAAAACATTAAGAACACCTGCTCTTTCCATGACAGACTGACCAGGTGAACCAGGTGAAATCTATGATCCCTTATTGATGTCACTTGTTAAATCCACTTCAATCAGTGTAGATGAAGGGGAGGAGGCAGGTTAAAGGATTTTAAGCCTTGAGACAATTGAGACATGGTATGTGTTGTCCATTCAGAGGTGAATGGGAAAGACAAAATATTTTAAGGTGCTTGAACAGGGTGGTTGTCAGGTGCACCGCTGGTTTTCAGTCAGAACATGCAACCTGTGTTTCAATGGCACCACTCAAAGTTTCCTGTGGTATCAAGAATGGGCAACCCAAGGCCAACTTGCACAACCTTGGGTTGAAGCATTGGAGTCCATGGCCAGCAATTGGCTGTTGAAGCTTCAGACGGCTTGTAGAGCCATCCGAAATGAGTGTTCTGAAGCAAAAGGAGGGTCAACTATAATACTAGGAAGTGTTCTAATTGTCATTGAATATATTCAGATCTTATATTCCAACACACAGTCTCTTCTTCTCTAAAATATTCATGGGGTTTGCCCCTCTCTCTGACCTGTATCTGGGTTAGGCTCTACCAACTGCTTTTCAGGGTTTAGCTGACTCTTCTCTGTACTGAATATGGGTTAGGCTAGTTTCTCTCCTTTCAGTCTTGTTAATGCTTTGGCTGCTTCTCTAGCCTATTCAGAGTAGTGACTCTTGTCTTTGCGATCTATGGGGTTAGGCTGCTTCGCTTGTCGTGATTCATTGGGTAGGCTCTCTCCTGGATCGTACCATGAGGCTTAGGCTGCCTCTCTGTCCTGTATTCTGGGGTTAAGGGGCCTTCTCTGTCTGTATCATGGGGTTAGGCCTGCATGGGGTGCTGCCTTCCTGTCCTGTATTCAATGGGTTTGGCTGCTTCTTCTCTGTCCGTATTCATGGGGTTGGCCCCTCCGTCCTGTATTCATGGGGGTTAGGCGCTGCTCTTCTTCTGTCCTGTTAATTCATGAGGTTAGGGCTGCGCTTCTCTGTCCTGTATTCATGGGGTTAGGCTGCTTCTTCTCTCCGTCCTGTAATTCATGGAGTGTAGGCTGCTCTTCTCTGGTCCTGTTATTCATGAGGTTTAGGCTGCTCTTCTCTGTCCTGTATTCATGGGGTTAGGCTGCTCTTCTTCTCCGGTTCCTGTATTCATGGGGTTAGGCTGCTCTTCTCTGTCCTGTATTCAATGAGGTTAGGCTGCTCTCTCTGTCCTTGGTATTCATGAGGTTAGGCTGCTCTTCTCCTCCGTCCTGTATTCAGGGGTTAGGCTGCTCTTCCTCTGTCCTGTACATTTTA